GGCCGAAAAGGCCCCGCTCTGAGGGAAACGAAAACAGTCAGACGAAAACCCCCCCGCTGCGCGGGAGCCCCCTCCAGGGTTGGGCGGGCTGGGAGAACCGAGTAGGGCTGCGGTCGCAATGCTCCCTGCTAATCGTTGGCAGACGACACCCCACTCCCCGCTTAATCATATCCGTGCACGCACCCCCATGATACGCTGTTTCGTTAGGCGGAGAACAGAGTTCTGTTAATGACGGCTCGCTGCGATCAGCGAGCTGCTCCTCCAGAGCTCTGGGACGAGGGGCCGAAAAGGCCCCGTTCTGAGGGAAACGAGGACAGTCAGACGAACCCCCCCCGCTGCGCGGGAGCCCCCTGCCCCCGACACAGGGTTAGCAATATAGATGGAGGCTCTCGCGAGGGACTGGAGGGAGTGAGTGAGCGCTTGGCTTAAAAACGCTGGGCGCTGGAGCGAGTAACTAGTATGGCTCACACCGAATTTATCTCTGCCCCGTAGGCGGATATCAGGGACGCCAGTCCTATCACAAATACCTGTGCAGCCGAAACAAGTACGAGCCAATATCGTTATGTCTTCGGGTTCCGTGCCGACGTGCATGTATACACAACGGTGTCTCCAAGAGGCTCCGAACATGCATCTATCACTGACAACTGTCGTCCTGGAACTTTCTGGCGCATCGGGTTGGCTAACAAGACGTGGCCAGAGACGGCTACCCTGGGGTAATTCCAGGAGGAGCGGCACGCGAGCTCGCCACGCTGTGGCGATGAGCCGTTTCAATCTCTCCGCAAACCTCCGCAGTCGGTGGTGGCCTGCTAACCTACCCGTAGCTTTGCTCGCCGACGGTAACGCGGGCGGCAGGAAAAGCACAGCTGCCTCACCACGCCGCAGGCGTGCCTGAAGACGGCGCTCCAGGGGCGCGCCCAGCCGCTCGTCACTGAGGGCGTCGCCTCGCCACATCCAGGTAGGCACTCCACCCTCAGCGAGGCCAGACCCGATCGTGGTCAGCCCGTCCCCGATCAGGAGCGCTTCGCACCGCTCGGCGAGGGCTGGATGCCTCCTGGCGGAGGCACCCCTCGTCCCTACACCAAGGCGCGCCCCAGCTCGCGCAAGCACTGGTCGCCGCACGCATCCAGCATCGGCCTGCGCGTCTGCGCGAGCTGCCCGAAGCGCACGCTCTCCTCGTAGCGCGCCATGTTCTTCAACGGGCGCCAGCCTCTCCGTCGCTGCACCTCCGCCTGCGCCCTCTCGCCGCTGGCACAGTCGACGTTCGCCCCCGAGGGCCGCGCCTGGTGAGGCGTGACGGGCCACAGCTGTATCATGCGGCAGGCCGCCTTCATCTTGCGCAGCAGCTCGGGGTAGTCGAAGTCCTGCCCAGACTTTCGAGGATCGAGCATCTGCATCTCGCTGAGGACTGGCCCGATCAACCGTAGCCACGAAGGGCCCAGCCTCACGCCCCGGTCGAACTCCCCCACTTTGTCGGGCGTTGTTTGCTCCAAGGGGCGCACCAGGAGTCCCCAGTGCTGACTGCGACCTCCTGGCCCCACTATGTCGCCAGGCCGTAGCGCGTCTGCTCCCAGGCGTCCTAACTTTGGGTAGAAATGGCCCACTGCCGCCACGACATACCTCCCCGTCGAAGCCCGCTCGCCCAGCAGGTACAGCGAGGTGGAGAAGTGGACCAGGCGGGCGCCCATCGCCTCCGCTGGCATCTCCGAAGGGGCCTGGCGGCCACGCCTCTGCTTCAGCTGCCCGAGCACTCTCTCGTACTAGGCTCTCACTCGCGGCGTCACCGTGCTCGACACCAAGTACCGGTCGAGCGGCACTCCGCCCTCGATCGCCCGCTCTCCCGCAGGGTGCAGCCCCTTCACCCGCCGCACTAGTGTCCCCTGCCGCTTGAGCTCGACGGCGGCCTCGGACTCGCTGGTAGCGCCGCTCGAGCTCCCCCCAGCCGACCAAGCCCGCATTCCAGTGACGCGCCTTCGGATGGCGGCAGGCGGTTCCTCCGCCGCCGCCTCCAGGCACTGCGCTCGCGAGCCCTCCGCTGGCGCAGGCCGCCCTCGGCCTTCCAGCGAGGCTCCGCTCGCGCCTCGATCTCTCTCCCGCGTGAGCACCCTCAGCCGCGACACCGATGATGGCACTGCTGCTGGGGAAGGGCCCGTCGCAATCGGCCGAGCCCTCGGCAGCGCCCGAGGCGCCAACAACGGCCTGAGCCAAGACGGCTACGGAGCGCGACTGAGACGCAGGGGCCCCGACGGATCCAAAGGAGCAGGGAGCCCCGAGGACGAGAGAGGAGGGGTGACGGTGATGCTCGCTTGTTTCCAGAGCTCTTACAGGGTGCACTGAAACGGGGCTACTCGCTTGCTCGCATTCAACAGTGCTGCGACTAGAACTGGCTGACTTTAGAACGGACTCAGGTTCAACACGCCGACAGCTCGAGGGGGCCGAACGGCGCGCACGGACACGGGGGGGTCGTCGCCAACTATACGATTCGACTCATCCTCGCCCCTGA